GGGTACTTTTCATGTCTGCAATTATTTTAGGTTGGCACCAAATTGGAGAAGCAATTTAAAATTTACTTTTTTTCAGTTAATTAATGCAGCTTTGAGGCACGGTGGAATAATGGATAGCAGCTTGGATTGAGGAATCGGAGAGCCAAGATCAAATTCCACTTGAATCCATAACATTCACTTACATTCTAATACCTAATATATAATTCTGGGAAAGGTATGAATCCTCTTCTTTTCCCCTGAGCTATGGGTAAATATCAGGACAGACCAGGTTCTATAGCCTTGGATGGCAACTGGTCTACCACAGAAAGAAATGGCAACCTACTGCAGGAAAAAAATCTGTCTCATCAGTCAAGTATCGAAAGATACATGATTGCCTAAGTGTGTATTGTGCATGGGACATAACTGATTGAATGCAGCTTTGGGAAACTTGCAAACAAGTGATGATCAAAAACTATCAGTTTTTTTGTTTTTTTGCTTTTTATTGGATGCTTTTGGGAAACTTACTTCTTCAACAAAAGTGAAAGGTTTGATAATTTAATAAGACAATAAAGGAAAAGAGAGAGGGAAATTTTCATGTCTACAATTATTCAATGATTGAAAATTGCCATCCAGATGATGACACGAGACCTTGAAGAATGAAGATAGGAGTTTTTAACAAACAAAATATAATTTTATCAATGGGAGAAAAGAAAAAGAAAAATCAACACATAAAAGTTTGCTTTAAATTCAAAACCATAATATATTCTGTTCTTGAAAATGACTAATTGATATTAGTACTGAATTTAAAGCTTGCATGTTGGTATATTATATTGTAGGTACTACTACTGTACTGATGCGGCATTCACTCTGGGCGGATTGAGCCGGCTTCTTCCTGTTATGAGAAGAAGATTCTTGGGATAAATTACAGAAGTAGGGTACCCAGGCCTACTCGGATAACGTTCTTGCTTGCCGTGGGGTTCCCACAGACGCAGAGACAGGAACGACCAGAAGCCGCCGGTTACCGATGCAGACGCTCTTGAATTTTCACCAGAGCCCTTGTTAGCCGGGCGTGTGTGTCAGACCTGTCCGCCTTGGTGGCCCTACCAGGAACGAAGTTCCGGGCGGCATAGCTCTGACACTACCGTTTACACCGACTGTGAGGTAAGGGTTGGACTTTGTAGGTGGGTGTGTGTTTAAGCAGCAGCATACAAAAACTTCAAACCAAAGACTGTTTATTCTCTATTTTTATGGAGACTGTAGGAAAACAAAGTTCTCAATGTCTCTTGGGTATGTCTGTTTTCTTTTGATCCAGAAGTTTAAGTATTAATGGTCAAGGCTCAAGTTAGCATTTTGCTGAGTTGGAACCACAAAAGAAAAGTTTGTACTTATATTTTATCACTGAAAGGTTTAAACATGGTTATATGGTATGTCTGATTTCTTTTTCTTAGTCCAAAAGTTAGGGTAAGTTTAGGATAAGCATCCTTATAATGGTCAAACTCAAATCAGACTTGTGTAGAATTGGAATGACCAACAAAAAACTTATAGGTGAAGGTTTTGAAAGACATGTGCGACTACTATGTGTTGGAAAGTCGTAAGAGAGTCATCAGTGGACAGGAGATATTGAATGGCCCCAGAAGAAGCATCTTTTTTCCACATTCTGTTATGTCTGGGAGCAAGGACAAAGAAGAGAACAAAGCAGGAAAATTTTTATTTTTTTATAGACCTAACCAGTGCTGCCTAATGGTTGTTTAACCCAAAGTAAGTGGAGTAATCATATTTCCAATTCCATTACTCATAGCATCATGGGAAAATATATTTCTTCTTTTTTTTTTTTATTATTCATTATTGTTATTTTATTTGTTGATTTTATTTCAGTTTCTTCATAGTAGAAAGTGTTGGATATAGATACAGATAATTTTTACATTAATTTTTGCACTTATTGTCTTTCAATTTTCACACACTGGGGTCAAACCTAGATTAGCTTATGTAAAAAAAAAAAAAAAAAGAAAAATTGACAAAAAATAATCAAACTTTATTTGTAATCATTAATCTGCTTAAACATTTCCGTAGCACATGTACAATGCCTGTCACTTAATTTTTCCCAATTTTCAGAAAGCTAACGATAGAGATGATTGAAAGAAATATCTGCACTATTAGTGTACATGATATTTCAAATATGTCTAAATTATTATAATATATATTAATATATTATATATATATATATATATATATATATATATATATATATATATCAATATTTAATATATATTATTATATATATATATATATATATATCAATATTTAATATATATTATATATATATATATATATATATATATATCAATATTTAATATATATATAATATATATTATATATATATCAATATTTAATATATATAATATATATAATATATATCAATATTTAATATATATTATTATAATATATATTAATACATATATTAATATTTAATATATATTATTATATATATATTAATACATATATTAATATTTAATATATAATATATACATATATTATAATAATATATAATATATATTAATATATAAATATTTGATATATATTATAGTATATATATAATAATAATAATAATAGCATAAATTATAACAGAGTACATGTCACACTTTTGATGTGTCAAATGTTTTATGAATTTTACTAGATTTTCTTATTTTCACATTATTTGTGTATTTGTATATTGCTTTTCTTTCATATGAAAAACAACTTATGTGTATTGAATGTGATATAAAATGCACAAATCAAATGAAATAAATAAGCAAGCAAATTAGAAGCTGTTATACTCATTGCAGTTAGATTTTTTTTTGATTCATTCTACATGCTGGCTGGATGGGAACGCCAAGGAAGCAGAGAATGAAATAACAAATGTCGTTTTCTGCAAATTAGGCTTCACACATCATTTTCCGTTCTATGAAACTAGCTCCAGCAGTAGCCAATTGCAACCATTTGTGCCAGAAAATGAGATGACTCTGGTGACTACCAGATCCACAAAAGGAAGTCTCTGAAAATGCCCAAAGGCCACTGGCTATTACGCAGATCGCTGCTGCTTCTGCTGCCATCATCACTGCTACCACCTTTCAACGTGACCACACCTCTCAACAACTGTTACCAGTCCCAGACTTGACTAACCACCTTGACTATCCAGCTTTGTGTTGATAACATTTCAATCTTGTAACCTCGGCATGAGCGACCAGCTATCCAGCTTTGATATCACTCAGCTACAAGGCTTCATCATCAAAAATGCCGTCACCTTGGCAAATACCGACATGATAACATCTCTACTTCAACTCCTAACACTTGCATCCTACGCATCGACAAAGTTAGATTCATGACTTCTCTTGATTCTTAATGTTAAAAAACACCTCAGCAACCCAACACCATCACTTTGGCATAACCAACATGTACGAGGCATTACCTTGCAGCCATCACCACAGCCTTATTAAACAGAACAGGCTTACCTACCATGCCAACCTAATGTCACCCCTGTTCCATAGAACAGGCATACCAACCAACAAAAACAGCCTACCACAGTGACCTCGATCAACCAACATGCCCCAACCATTCACTGTGCCCTCACACAAAACCCACACAAGAATTAGGTCAACTCCTGGTGCTACCCTTAGACCCAACTGCTATCCTGATGACTGGCCACTGAAATGGACATTTCACTCATTTTTCAACATCTCTGTACGACATGCCATTATAAATGTTGTTCAATTCTAATCCTTGTTATTCCTTTCTCTCACTACCAAATGCTTAATATGATAACTGGTGTCAGGAGCCCACAGTGAGGGAAATAGATATAAGAACTCAGATCAGCAGCAAAGGATTAGCAATCACAACAGGACCAGCAAAACATTCTTCTCTCTCTCAACAATCATCTCATTTCTGACTTCACAGAACTTTCCGTCACTCACTCTCTATGAATCAGAATTAGATTTGGAGGAGCCTTCACACTCCGTTGCAGTTAGATCTCTTCCTGCATGCTGACCAGATGTGAACATGAAGAAAGCAAAGAATGAAATAACAAAAGTCATTTTCTGCACATTAGGCTCCATGCATCACATCTGGTCTATGAAGCAAGCTCTGGCAGTGACCAGTCATGAATGTTCCTGCCAAAAAAAAAATTTGCCCCTGGGGACCATCAGAGCCACTTAAAACAGGTCTCTGAAAATAACCAGAAGTAGTTGTGGCCCAATGGGTCACTGGTCATTATGCAGGGCATTGCTGTAACCACCATGACCATCAGCACCAAGATGACCTCACCTCTCAACAACTATTACCACTCCCATGCTTGACTAACCACCTCAAGTACCCACCTTTGTGTTGATAACATCTCAACCTTGGCAAACACCAACCACAAACAGCCAACTATCCAGCTTCAACACCACCCAGCTACAAGCCTTCATCATCGACAACACTGTCACCTCAGCAAATACCAACATGATAACATCTCAACTTCAACACTTGCATCCTACACATTGGCAAAAATTCATGACTTCTCCTGACTCCTAAGACTCAGATCCTATGCATCAGCAAAGTCAGATTCACAACTTCTCCACATTCAAATCTCTAGAAAAATATCTGGAAAATCATTGTCATCAACCCCAAAATTTTTAATTCAATATTTAATCCCCCCCCCAAATTCTTCTTACAATCCAAAATATGGTTCAGCTTTAAATAATATACAAAGGGTTCAATACATACATTGCCATGTTTTTTTGTTGAGATAGGATCGGGATTAATCTTGCAATAAACGAGGTAGGCCCTGCCTGACAGAGGACTTGTCATAATGATTTGAGGCAATGTTTTACATCTTCCTGATGGACAACTCAGACACACACAGTAGTCCAAGTTCACCGAGTTGCCATTCAAAGCTTGAGACCTTATCCTAGTCTTATATATATATATATATATATATATATATTGGTTACTGAGTGTGGGAGAATATGAAAAAAATTTATGTAAAAATGGATTTCATTAACATTCACCTTTAAATACAGCTTTTGTCTTCATGGAAACCACATCAGAACCACTGCCAGGTTCACTCATAGCCAACGCTCCAATAAATTCACCAGATATCAACTAAAATAAAAGCAACATCAAAAATTAAATAAACAGAGAAAAAAAAAACATCTTTCTGAAAATATTACAGAATGAAAATCATTATCAAATCCAACTTTTAATAAATTTAAATCTAAGAAACACAAATTTTTACAAAGTCTAAGATGCATTTGTTATTTAGAAAAGGATCTTATGATGATTTTACAAGTTTTTTGAATTAACATGATCAATTTTAATTCTTTGAAACCAAAGAACATATCAAAAGTGATAAAAACATAAAAAAGAAAGTAAATGAAATCAGCTAAACTATATACACAAACACATATTTAAAAAATAAAAGATTTTTTTTAAAATTTAAAATTTCAACGACAACTCCTTCATGCACATATGTAATCACATCAACATAAACATCACTTTAGTCTGATGAAGTCCTAAAGAACAAAACCCCATATTTATTACAACGTTTCAGCAGTTGTATGCTCCGGCCTTCTTCAGGTGGTTGGAATGTTGAACTGAACCCTTTATTTCACTCACTGGGGTAGACTGTTCTAGTTCCACGTGCCATGTTTAATGGATGTCAGTTATCAGTTATCTCCAGTTAATTTCCCTCTGAAAGTTCTCCACTGCCCTAACTGGGTATTGAACTCACACTCTTTGGGTTCTGTCACTGGATCTAACTAACGCCTTTATCCACTATGCCATGTGTCCTCAAGGAAACATGACATGGCAATAACTGATAACTGACATCCATTAAACATGGCATGTGGAACTAGATTTGTTGAATTTAGTAAGCATTTCTTTTTTTTTTACTCACAGGAAAGTTTTAACATAAAAAAAATTTGTTTCTGATAGAGAAAATGTCCCCCTGTTTTCTGCTATATAGATCTATCTTTATCAATAATTACAGTTTGCAACCTTTCAGTGTAAGTTTTCTTTTATTATTAATACCATGAAAGGAAAAATATTTGTGTAGTTTGCAAAAACAATTTCACTGAAGAATTTATTTTCTACATTTCATAGTATGTTTTCAAAAACAAATGATATCTATTGTATTTTAACATACTCTCGTGTGTGTATGTGTGTATGTATGCAAGTTTGATTAATGACCAACAGATGTTCATTGTTAAGTTTTTTGTTTTTTTTATTTACAATTATTTTTTTTTTTACATATTTCAGACCGTTTTTCTGACTTCCAGTGGAAATGCAAATATAATTTAACTGATGAGATACTTTCAGCTGTCATTAGCTATTATCAAAGAGTTTTCATTTTTGTAATCTGTCAGTTTCATCATTTTTCAAATATTGCATTTTCACATGTACTGACGTTTTTTTTTTAACTTATTGAATATACTTAGTATGTTTGTTCCTAAATTTGATAACACACACACTATATTTTAAATATTTTATCTAGAAAGTTACTGTAAAAGTGAATATAGCTAATGTCACTGAAAATTTAAAATGAATAATGGCATTTTTTTGTTAAGAATAAAGATTTTAAAAGTGTCATTTGTAAGTTATTTATTTTATTAGTTTCCCTTTGGAATAAGAAGTAAATTGAATTAGTCTTTATTTTATTAAACAGACTGTCTAAACATCAGCGCTAAGGAGGAATCATTTCTACTATCATTATAATCCTCTCATGGACTGTTACCAAACATAGATGGCTATTTCAGTGAGTGAGTTTCAAATCAATGGGGTATTTGAGGGACTAGAATTTTTTTGTGAAATTTTTTTTTTTATAATTTCCCGTAATGAAACACTGTCCTAAAATGCTTAATTAAGGGGAAGGAGAAAATTTCCTGAATATTTAATAAAAGGGGTGGCTGGAATAAGAATGTACTGGGTGGATTTTTATTTTAAAAATATAAAAATAAATAAATTGTGCCTGCCCGTCTACTTGAAAGACTAATAAAAAGAAATATTTTGTGGCTTATGGTTTAAATATTTGTGGAAATGTTTACAAGGGGAGATAATCGTGTACACTTCTTAATCTGAGATTGCTTATAATTAAATAGAGCAAAAATATACATAATTGTTTCATATTCTCTAAAGGACCCTGTACCTCAAATTGGAAGAGAAACAAAATAAATTTTATAAAAATCCGGCTGTGAGTTTGAGCCACTTTATTACCTTTTATGGCACTTTCGTTTATAGAAAATATTTTCATTGTGCATACAGTAATATTACAAGAATTGCTTTAATCTCTATAATCTGTTATCTTCTGTCTTCTTAATTCCCGTTCTTTTATTGTTCTCTCCCCTTAATTTTCTTTTTCTCATATTTTCATGCTCCCTTACAACTTAGTGACTTTCTGGGGGTGAAATGATTTAAAAAAATGAAAAAAAAAAGTATGTCTTACAAAATTATACAATGCCACATATAGGCATTGTTCTGATTAATTTAGATATAATTTTTCTCATATTTCTTTTCTTTTTATGTGCCGTGTCTCTTCAAGACGTAGGCAATCATGGCTCTCCACTTCTTCCTGTCCTTTGTAGCTCTCAATAAGTTTTGTCACTTTGCTACTTCCCCCAGGCCATGTTCTCTCATCCACTTGCTCAAACCCGCCAGCTATGTCATGTGTTTCTTTCCCTCTATTCGACCTGTGAGTACTACTTCTTTATGTACAGTGTCCCTTCAGGATGTAGGCGATCATGGCCCTTCACATCTTCCTGTCACTTGTAACTCTTAATAAATTTTGTCCTTTTGCTACTTCCCTCAGACCCTGTTCTGTCATCCACTTGCTTAAGTCTGCCAGCTATGTCATGAGTTCTTTCCCTTATCTTTCTTTCCCTCTATTCTACCTGTGAGTATCAGATTCTCCAAGCTGTCCTTTCTCATTACATGTCTCAGAAATTTGAACTGCCTTTTCTTGATGTTAATTATAAGCTTCCTCCTTGTTTGCATCCTTTCCAAAACTTCATCATTGCTTACATGCTCAGTTCATGATATCCTTAGCATCCTTCTGTAGGACCATGCCTCCACCACCTCAAGTCTCTTCTTCATCTTTGAGGGCCATCTAACATTCGCTGACATAAAGGAGGACAGATTTCATGTAGCAGCTGTAAATACATAGGCTGCTATTGTGACTTTGATTTTTTTTAAGTCCAATTTGTATTTACATATACTGTAAGAAAATGTTACAATCTCACTCTATATTTCTGAGATGAGGTATTATATACATTATTTACATTGTTCGGACTATCATCCTCATCTTTGTTGCCATATTTATCATAATGCTTCAGCTGTTGTATGGTCTGGCCTTCTTCAGGTGATTGGAATGTTGAACTGAACCCTTTATTTCACTCGCTGGGGTAGACTGTTCTAGTTCCATGTGCTATGTCTAATTGATGTCACCATGTGGAACTAGAACAGTCTACCCCAGCGAGTGAAATAAAGGGTTCAGTTCGACATTTCAACCATCTGAAGAAGGCCAGAGCATACAACGGTTGAAGCGTTGTGATAAATATGGCAACAAAGATGAGAACGATAGTCCAAATAATGTAAATAATACTACAATCTGTTGTAGACTGTTATGAGATTTCTATTTATAAGTTACTTGTACTCAAATTTGACTAAATCTTAAGTAATCCACTAATGATGTCAGCATGGCTTAATACTTTAGTATTCAACATAGTCAAACCTGTCCCATAAATATCAGCTCCTAATGTCTCACTGTCTGTAGTCAAAGTCTTATTATTTGCATGACTTCCTGCATTATTTGCAATGATGTTATCCTATATTATGGCAGCGTATGCATGTGGTGGATTGAACATTGAGGGACAATATTTATGGGACAGGTTTGGGCAGGTTCAATGTTAAAGGATTAAGCTACTACAAAAAATAAAAACATAGAATGTAAGCAAAGGGAGATAATACAGACATTTTTTTATACTATATTCAAGAATTCTACCCGTGAAATGTCTTTCATTTCTATTTTTTAGACCAAACATAAAAAATTTAAACAACCATTTAAACAACTCAAATACTAATTCATGTACAAATATTTAAGTCAAAATCTTAAGTTGCATATAAAAAAAAAAATCATGTAATTCTTAAATTCAGCCAGTCTCCCTTTTACTCAAAGCCAACAAATAGACTGAAATAATCTTTTTAAACACCGTGTCCCTTCAGTATGTAGGCAATGATGTCTTATCCCAGTTTTGCTCTCTTTAAAATCTGTGAATATTCTAAACATAAACAAATGGTACTTATAGATATGTAAGATAGACTCTTTAGATTTTTCTCTCCAGAGTCTATCCTACATATCTATAAGTCTACCATTTGTTTAGAATATTGCTGCCACATATGCCCCAGTCTTCCTGTTATTTATCTAGAGCTCCTTGATAAAATCCAAAGAAGAATCAGCAATATTATTGGTCCTGATCTGGCAGCTTGGCTTCAGTTACTTTCCTACTATTGTAATTTTGCCTCACTGTGCATTTTCTATAAATACTTTCATAGTAATTGTTTACATGACCTCCTTGTTATAGTGTGTAGAATTTATGAATTTAAGTGTAGATTGGCAGTAAGGTCTCATCAATCTGCAGTTGAGTTAGCTAAATGTAACTGTAAGTTTTATGTTAAGTTTTTTTTTCTTGCAGATCTCACTTGTGGAACTCCCTTCCATGCTTTACAGTTAACTTTAATCTTCAAAAATGCAATGTCAATTGTTATCTCTTGTCTTCCTGATTACTCTTCTATTGTTCTCACTCCTTACTAATGTTTCTACTTTCTAATTCTTTCACATCCATAACCACTTGTGTGTTAGTGGATTTATTGCATTACTTGGGGTAAATCTGATTAAAAAAAAATGCATACACACATTTTTTCACTCTTTGATGTCTGCTTTTTCATCTGCAGAAAACGTTAAATGTTGTCACCTTTGGAAGATATTTTTTCTTTTGTTCTTCCGTTCCATGCCGCACAATCTGGTTGACACAAAGATTAGAATGGGCTCCATAGCTGAGGGCTATTGCACCTGACGCTCTTGACATCTCCTCCATAATAAGGCAGTGATCAAGGTAGAGACCTTCAGAACCACCATACTCACCTAAAAAGAAACAAATAACATCACAACCGTCTACACTCAACAAATCTATCAATGGGGAGGAGGGAGGGACATAAGTATTCTTTAATAAAATAAAAATTCTTTTACCTTTTTTCTGAACAAAATATCTGATGAGGATAATAAGTTATCAACTCAACAAATATCAATATTTTATTTAAACTAATTTTATTTTTACAGAATTTATTTTTACTAAATTTAATAAAATGCATTTAAAGGCTACGCGAGGTTTTACAAACATTTTGCATTGGTGAGACTTTTTAAAAAATATATTTTATATTAATGTTTACACAATACAAGGCCCAAAAGCCACTCAAGATAGATGCTTACTGTGTGAAGTTCTTGTGGACTATACAGGAAAGATAACAGTTAAGCCTAAAATTGAAGATGTCAAGATTGTAGTGATTGTGAAAACATCCTACAGGGAGTCTGTTCCACAAAGTAGCAGTTCTTAGGAAAAAATCTGTAACCTGCCATGATTTCTTAGTAAAGACAGTGGAATGATTTCTCATCTTCTTCTCTACAGCTCTGAATTTAATATTGCTTTTCTATACTGCTTACCATACAAGGCTAGATACCCGAGTCTACCCTGCTATTTAGCTTACAGCTGAACAAGAGAAGAGGAATGCAGCAGACTATACCAGAATTTGAACTTAGCATGTGGATTCCACGTCATTCAAGTCATGAATTTCAACTAAGCCGTTGATATTCCCTTTCTGAAACACTTATGAACCACAACACATTTCTTTCACCCACCATTACCATTGACTCACCTCAGACACACCTGCATTTTTTTATATTTTGGTTACACCTTCCCTGTGCCCAGTGTTCATTGGTACTAATAACATTATGGATAATCAATCTTCAATTGAAGTTGTTGAAATCTCTCAGGCTTTTTTGTTTTATAGACAGTATTTGCACCCCATATCTAACCATCTTCACATGACTTCAGGTGTTTAAGTGGCTGAGTTTTGAATTCAGAGTTGTTCACCTAGACTGGTTATCAAACAAGGCTAGAGAGCCCAGTCTACTCTGCTATTTAACCCATATCCAAGAACAGATGAATTCATAGCTTTCCCAAGGGTATATGTGCAATAGTGAATGCAATGAACTAATCATAATGCTACCTACACATAATCCAAGTAAATACACACCATTTGGGAGCTTTAAGTATAAAAGGTGTAGAGAAAATTCAATCAGGAATAAATAAAATAAAAATTAGATTTACATTTGAATGTCAGTTTTAAAATAAGTAAAGTGTAGTTCCAGATCTATCCAAAGAGGTTTTTATGCTTCCAAACAATTTAGGATTTTTAAGTTTAAACCTTTTTTGTAAACAATTCCACACACACACACAAAAATGCCATTAAGGATGCAAATTAAAATACTTAATATTTCTCAAAGAACATTTAGCAGCAACAGATTCATTCCACTTTAGTGGTTATGAGTAATAGATAAAAGACAGTTTTACAGTCATTCTTCAGAGGAATATATAGCCAAAAAGAAAAAAAGAAATCCAACATTCAACTTACTAGGGGCAGTTATTCCAAGTAATCCCATCTCTCCGCACTTTAAAAAGAAATCCTATAAATAAAGAGAAACAAAAAATGAAACAAAAAATAATGGATAATCTTAATAAATGTTTCTGACCAATTTTTGACACTGAGCCATCATCAACAAATTCTTCCCAAACTGCATGAAAGTAACCAAATCAAACAGAAAAAAGAATTCATCTTAAGAAACAAAGAAAAAAAAAAAAGAAAAATTCATATTATATATTAAAGCTTAAAGAGTTAAAACTCTAATGATATTACTCCATTGAGATAACTTTTATCAAAAGTGATAAATAGAAAATTATTATTATCATTGAACATTGACAGGCTTTGTGTCTGAATGCTGACAACAACTGTAATTCTCTCCCTCAAGGGGCTCCCAGGTCATGTACAGGGTGAAAATCATTGTTAAACAAAAAAAAAAATTAATAATTTTACAACACAAGACCACAGAAATATCATGAGCCTTCAGTGAGGATGGAACTCACAACAATAATAATGGTGTTAATATTTCTTATAGACTTACCCTCAAGCCAGGAAAGTTATTATTATGGTCAATTTCTTTAGCCTTTGGTGCAAGTTCTTTCTGGGCAAACTGGAAAACAACTTCTCTGAGCTTGAAAAATAAAAATAAAAAACTTTCAAAAAAAGGTAAGAAAAATAAGTTTCTTTCAGACATCAAAAGTTATTTATTAGCAAACCTTCAAAATAAACTAAGTTTTAAGTTGTTATTTTTATTCCCCAACCCCCACAGACAAAGTGTACATGTGAGGACTAGTTAGGACTTTGTAGAGATATTATGGCATTATGGTGACAGTAGTAAGGATAAGTTAGAATGTGTTGTTTTAAATAAACTAGGCAATATTTTCCAACAAAATATTTATTAAAAGAATTTCCCTTCTTTCATATATTAACCAATGTTCTCTTGGTATCATCTTTATTTTTTTAAAATCATTTCATCCCCAAGAAATGTGATAAAGCCACCAAAACGCAAAGGGGTTACTGAGTAAAGGAAACTGAGAAAACATTACTGAGGAGAAAGGACAATAAAAGGATAAGATTCAAGAAGACAGATTGATGCTGCACTTATATTTATAGATTGTCAGTGGCCCAGATTGAGGAGTCGGAGAGCTGAGTTCAAATTCCAGTTGAATCAATTACATTCACTTACATGCTAATACCCATGGGAAAGGTATGAATCCTCTTCTTTTCCCCGCCAGCTATGGGTAAATAATAGGACAGACCGGGTTCTATAGCCTTGGATAGCAACTGGCACATAACTGAGTTGACAGGAAAGCAAAAAACTGGAAAAGAGTTCCCTATGTGAGAAGTGCGAGAGAACAAATGATTAGAATATAACTTACGGCTATATCTAGTAAATTCAATGGTAAAATGATGAGACTTAGCTACTAACCTAGTACTATTCTTAAATTCATGAGGTCAAGCTTCCAAAGAGGAGAGCAATATTTATTCTTGAAATACAAGAAATGTGGCATGAGGCCAAAAAGGAAATGGAGGAGGCTGGTCTTCAATTGTTCTATATTTAATTTAGCTAGCCACAGTTACTAACCCAAATGAACTACAATATTCCTTACACTAAAACAACACATTCTAATTTATCCTTACTGCAGTCATCATAATGCCACAATGTCTCTACAAAGTCCTAACTAATCCCCACATGTACAATTTGTCTGTGGGGTTTGGGGAATAAAAACAACAACTTAAAAAAGAAAATACCCCCAAAATTAACTGCCAAAGAAAGCACATCAGAACAATTGGTATAAAAATATTTATAGAAAAGGCACATGGAAGGTACGTTACAGTAATGGGAAACTGATTTAAACTGAGATGCCAGGTCATGACCGAAAATATTGCAGATTCTTTTTTTGGATTTTGTCAAGGATCTCTGAAATCAATACCTTCTTTTTCCTATATTGTGACCATTTTACTTAGTTTTTATTCTCTTAATTTCAGATGAAAAATTAGAAATTTTATAACATATTTCAATGAAATTTAAAATTTTCGCAGTTACAGTTCAATTACAATTGTAGATAAGATATTGAGACTGCACTACTCATTCATGAATTTGATGTCATAATAATTGTGAGTTCAATCCCTAGGTTGTGTAGTACTAATTCACTTCTTAGTGGAAACAGGACGAGCAATAACTGAGTAGTACTAAATAAGAACAAGATCTGATGTCCCTAGAGAGACTTGAACAGTGGAATGAGAACAATCTCTACAACCATTAAAAATTACATCGTGTTCCGTTCGAAATTCCCTTTAGGCTTTATTAATCGGATCGAGAGACATCAGAAAAATGAAAAGGTCTGGCTAGATTGAATAACAGCAGACGTTATAACAAAGACGGGGACATTCATTCGAAATAAACATAAATAAAATTACATTGAAAAAGTTTTAAGTGGATTTTTAACCGAGAAAAGAACTTTGTTCTCATTAATTTCCCCTATTGTCATCACGAGAAAATACATTTTGCTTTTTAAAGAAAAATATTTAAAACATTTTTTTAGCCATTTAAATTTAAAAATAAGTGAACTTTTTGACTTTGACATTTGAAAATAAAAGAAATTTAATTTTTTTTTAAATATTTCAAAATTAAAAATCACTAATTATTGTCGGTTGAAAAATTGCATTTAATGCCCATAGCTGAGAATTTTACTGTAAATTAGAAAACCCGTTTTCCTGAAGTATTATTTCAACAAAATAGAAAGTTGATTTTTTTAACATTGGACATTTTTTTTACGTAATTTTCACACAAAAAGGTCAAATAAAATAAAAACAGTAACAGATTTTAATAATTGACGACGCATAAAGATGTTATTTTACAAAATACATAAACAGAAGTTTATACAACGGACAAAAAGTTGTTTTTTAAAGAACTACGGAATTAATTTCTTTCTTACTACTAAAAAAATATTGTGTAGAGAAAGAAGATATTTTTATTTTTGACTTAACACGTGTACTTGTTACATAAAGAAAATGCGGATTTCAAACGTAAAAATAATACAAGATAAATAAACAAAGAAAAGAAAAATTTATTGAAAAAGGAGAATATTAAATTAAATCGGATTTTATTTTAATTTTTTCAAATTTTGTCAGGTTTTTATTCAGGTGCAAAAAAAAAATGTTATTGTTCGCCCTTCTCTCCCTCCAAAGTTACCTGTTTCTGTTCATCACTGAGTCCGAAAAGATCGTTATTTATGGGATAATAAGCGGACATTTGGCGACAAGGAATTCGTGATCCAAGTAGAACTCGACGACAGATACGAGAAGTTAAACATCTGAGGGCCATTCTTGATTGTATCGACTGTGGAGGACCGAACCTAAAAATATCAATCAAGAAGATCGCTGAACTTGACAAAAATATACACAGCGAAGAAAGAATAAGGGCAGGTAACTCTGTTTTCCTAATTCTTAAAAGACTTCATCACCGTCAAACAATCCATATTGTTTAGAGACGGTGATGAATTTGTCATTTTATTTTTTTTAAATAAGTCACTTAGTGACTTATTAAAAAAAAAAAGACAATGTAACAGATACCATCTTCAAGGATTATTTTTAAAATATTATTTTTTTTTAATTTCATATTTAAATTTTTGAAGTGGAACTCTTAAAAAAATCCTATTCACACAGTCTTACTCTTGTGAAAATAAAGAATTTTTTTAAAAGTTTAGCTTTCGTTCTTTTGTTTTAAATTATTTTTTTTATATAAATTTTATTTTAACGTATCAATTGTCGAGAAAGTTGCGTTTCTTCTCGACGAAGAGGGTGGGGGGCAGATCAGAAAGAAAGAGTCAGATCGGTTCCCCGGCAGTGTTTTGCGAAAATACTGCCTCGGTTTCACGACCTCAACACCTGTCAATAATTGAAATGAATTATAATTGTAGCTACCTAGCAGGGAAGCTCGGAGGAATAGTCACAGTAACGGCTTAGTAACATATGTTCCTTTTGGTAACAAGTGTGGATTAGTTTGACAACGGAGACGTGCTCAAAACTGCTAGCAAGTGTTATAAAATAAAATAAGACATATCTCAGCTGATTTACAGGCAAATAAACTAACATACTCAAGAGCGAGAGCCGGATGTGAACGGGACGGGACAAGGCCGCGTCACAAAATGACCCTAATGCTCCTCTTTTCGTGGCCAGCATGGGGATCAAACCCACGACATTCGCGTTATTAGCACGACGCTCTAACCAACTGAGCTAACAGGCCACGCGCCTGGCCTTCGGCCTTACATCTGCCGGAGAAATCTTCTCCTTTGTGACGGGGCCTTGTCCCGTTTACATCCGGCTCTCGCTCTTGAGTATGTTAGTTTATTTGCCTGTAAATCAGTCGAGATATGTCTTATTTTATTTTATAACAAAGTGAAGGAGGGAAAGCCTTTTTTATAAACATTGACCGATACCCCACCCACTCTTTGCCACTACATCCGGGCACAAGGCTATAGTTTTGTGAGGTATGCCTTAATTGCCACGATATGCTACAGGACCTACCGACCGACTGCTGTCCCATGTGCCAACACAATCCCCTCTTTTTGTTTTTCACACATTGTTGATTGATTAATTGAGGAATGATTACCCTTCTAGTCGTTATTTTCTTATAGCTACCTCCACTCAGTTTCGATACCTTGGTTTGAAAAATCATTCTTCAAGCTTTTTAGCTTTAATTAAAAGCTAAATGCTTACATTTACTATTTCCAGTAAATAAAATACTCTGGTGTATTTCAAACAGAAATTATATTGATTAGAATCTCGCCTTTTTGCTCGCTTTCATAAATCATTTAAATTCAGCCACTTTTGACACATTTGTAAACTAAACAAAATTTAATTCTCGGTTTTAAAAATCCTCCAAAAATAAAATATACTTTCCTAAAATTTTATTTGAGGAATATTAGCTAACTAGCAGTAGAGTCCGGCGTTGCCCGGGGATGTAACAGTAAGAGATAGATCAAGTATCGACCATCATAAAGACTGAAAAATAAAATTGACAAAGATTATTGTTTATGGTTGACGGACACGCATGTCTTAATTAGTTTTTTTTTTTTTTTGTTTTTTTGTTTTTTTTTTGTTTCTTTTTACGAATTGGTCAAATCCAAACTCAAACAAAAACATTGTTTTCAATCGTTATGAGTCTACCGATTGAATAGAATTTTATTATAAACAATTGTCTTGCAAATGGAATTTTTTAAAGCATTCTGAATGTAAAAATAAAGAAAAAGTGTGCAAGACAATAAAAACACTGCCAAAAAAAGTGAAGTTTTGTTGAAATCGGTTGAAAATGTAGGAAATCCGATCCCATATATAAACGAACACACACACACAAACAACCTTGTTTTTATAATAAGTATAACTCGATATGAGTTGTCCCTCTTTCATTCTAGCGACAGAATCGTGTTTTATCGTATTTTCAAATTGATTTCGTGCAAAAACAATTGTGTTTTTCCAATGGTTGGCGCTGTCAGAACCACCGCAAGGTAATTTTACGCAGTCCTGTGAAGTTTTGTTGAAATCAGTTGAAAAATGTAAGAAATCCAATCCAATATATAAACGTACACACACACACACACACAATCTGTGTTTATATTAAGTAAGATTAAAGTATAATTAGTCTGATTTGATGAAAATATTATCTACTTTAAGTATAAATAACTGAGAAATGGCTTTTTACAACAAACAGTAGCGCGATTAAGTGCTTGTCAACACATCGTAAATCACTTGAAATGTTGACACTTTTATTATTGCTTTAAGACAACTGTATCTGTTAATACATAATTTCAGAAAATGATGGCTGAATGCTTTTTTTATACAATTTTTAAGTACTCAGTAATCCTAAAAGTGTTGGAAAATGTTCTCCGTAATCTAATTTTTAGGAATGTTGAATTTAAATTTACTATAGTCATCGTTCTTATTTTCTATTTCTTATTTTCTTATGTCGTGTATGGTCGCCATACTTTCAAACATGGTTGTAAACGACTTTTAATGAGCTTTTCAATTTTTCATTCGTAAATGTTGTTTTCACTTATTAACAATATCACCTAACCTCCTTTGAACTAATGCAGAATTTAAGCTATTTATAATATAATAAATTATTTAATTAACATTTTTAAAAAATGAAAACAATTCTTGTAAAAATTAATTATTCATCGAAAAAAAATTTCTTCTCAAGACAATAGTGTTCTTAATAAATTTACTGATAACTCTCCATCGTGAGAAGTGCATACGGCCCTAATCGTTTTTACGGTTTATCAACACTTTGCAGGTTATTTAAAGCCAGAAAATTTTAGATTCTCTTTTTTTAGAAATAATAACGGTTTAGTGATACAAGTTTTACTAATTAACCTATAGCTGGGGAAGAAGAGATGGATTCTTACCTTTCCCAAGAGTATTTGTGCGTAAGTGAATATAACTTTAAACAGATTGATATAGAACGCGAATAATACATATGTATGGTTCTAGCCAGCCATGTTTGAACTGGTTACTTTATCATGACATCCCTCATTTTGTCTGAAGTTTTGCGTTGAAGGTGGGGAGGTGAGATTTTTTAGGGATATCATCTCCAGGGGCTTGTGATCATTCTCAATGATAAATGGGAGGTCATATATGTGTTCGTAATTTCTCGCATCCGAAAGCCACTGCTAACAGCTCCCGTTCTATGATGGCGTAGCGCTGCTCTGTTTCTGTGAGGGATTTGGATGCAAACGCCATGGGTTTGCCTTGGATGAGTGCAGCTCCAAGGCCTTTTCTCAAAGCGTCAGCATAAATCACTGATGTCTTTAGTGGATCAAAATAAGTGAGCCACATTTCTGTATTGATTATATCCTTTATTTGCTGCAGGGATTTTTGGTGGCTAATTGTCCACTTGTACTCCGAGTCTTCCTTTAGCAATTCTCTCAGGGGTGTTGTGAGGTCAGATAGACGAGAGATAAATGGGGTCATATATGCGATAATTCCCAGCACCTTCTGAAGCTCCGCTACTGAGTAGCCATTTTATCTCTTAATGGGTATCTGGATGGAGCCCATTTTTACTAAACACAGCTCCAAAGAATCATATTTCCTTCTTGTCAGAGGGACATGTCTGATATAACAGGCATCTTTTTGACTCTGCTCGTAACGTGCAAGCGTGTGCTCAGTGAAGCAAAGTTGCGGTTTACTGATATAATGAAATCGTATAGCATCCCGCAAGTTTAGTTCTAAAGATTATTGGCGGCTCTGCAAGAGTGTGCGGAACAACAGCAAATCCTCAATCCCTCCAGTATTCAATCAATTCGAAGTCCTTACATCTACAGCAGATAAGGCTGAATGCTTTGCTCGAAAATTCAACTCATCTGGTATCCCGCCCCCGCCCCAAGAACTGAGGCTCTACTGAGTGATATGTGGCCTCGGACACCATTTCTAAACAAGACTTCCATAAGGCAAGTGGGGGTGACGGGATGTCAGCCATCGTCCTAAAGAAATGTGTTCTTGGGCTATCTCCAGTTCTTTCCAAAATATACAACTAATGTCTCGCTGCTTCCTGCTTTCCAGCCTATTGGAAGTCCTCCTGTGTCGTCCCTGTTTCTAAGAACTCTGGAGAACCCTCTGGCGCCTCTAACTAGCTCCCTATCAGTCTACTACCGCTTTTCAGCAATATATTCGAGGCTTTAATCAATGCCGGAGTGGTTACGCCTCTCACCTCTCACGATCTGCTCTCGGACAAATAATACGTATTCCGTTTTGCCCGCTCTACCGCTGATATGCTTACACCCATAACTGAATATGTATATCAAGCTTTTGATAATAACGGCGAAGCTCGTACTGTAGCTCTAGATATCTCGAAGGCCTTTGACAGAGTTTGGCATGCTGGTTTTCTACGTAAGCTTCAGGGTTACGGTATTCCAGGATGATTATTTGGTTTAATCCAGTCATTCCTATCAAATCATGAAATGAAGGTAGTCCTGAACGGGTTCTCTTCCAATTCCTTCCATACGAATACAAGAGTTCCCCAAGGCTCTATCCTTGGTTCAACACTGTTTCTGATCTTCATCAATGATCTCCCTGAAGTCATCTGTTCTCAAGTTGACATCTGTGCAGACGACACTACCATATACTCCTGTCTCAATAATAAATCCGGCAGCGCTGCCAAAGTTAACTTGGCCGCTGCCCTTGAAAAGGATCTCCAATCAGTGGTTAAGTGGGGCAGTAAATAGCTTGTAAACTGTAATGCCCGCCAAAAAGTGAACTTGAGTAAATGGATGGAGGAACAAGGTTTAGGAGAGATAAGAAAAAGATCAAATTTATTAAGGGATATATTAG